ATATATATATATATACACACACACTTATACTTGAAACATTGTTGCCAGGGTATCCGCGGGAAGTTTCGTTTAGGTCAAGGGAGTCGTGGACGAAAAAAGTTTGAAAAACCCTGACTAAGAGCAACTGAGAGGTCTCTGCAGTACGTATTCTACCCTGACATGAATATGGCGGTGAAGCTCCTGCCCAGGACTGTAATATTCACCGCCGACCACAGCACAGACTTGCGGGGTTTTCTCCTCCAGGCTGCCCCGCCCTAGCCGGAAACTCCCGACATGTGTGGTAGAGTGGTATATGTCAATGTGTGTGTAAGAGCGTGACGATACGACAATGACGAGGAAGGAAGATCGTGCGCGGTGCGTGGCCTGCTTGTTAAGGTACCGCACCGGGATTCGGTTGGTCGATTGATTAATTAGTCTTACGCCAACGGCAAAGGTTATTAAATCCGTAAGTGTAGTGCATTTTTCATCTGAGAAATTACCGGTAATCTTGTAGTGGAAGTGTGGTGCATGAATGTGTAAGCGAGTGCAATTAAGGAGTGAAGATAGGACAAGGAAGAGGAAGAAAAGATCACGCGCGGTCAGTGGCCCGCTTATTTGGGGTACTGCTGGAGCATTCGCCGGGCGTTGATCGGTGAAACCATGGAAAACTACCAATCAGAGCGAGTGTAACGCTCCGAACTGGGTCGCAGGTTCGATCGTGGGTGGACGCATACCGGAAGAGCAGTTAGAGCTTGTCTCTGCTGCGACGGTTCCCAGAAGGAGGGAGATACCTGGTTGGCGAAAATCTCCGCAAGCCGACGTATGTCGGCGCAGGATCTCGCCTTTCAGCGATCACCCCTACATCCCGCGATAGAAACACGCACTACACTTACGGAACTAATGACCTTGGCAGCTGACGCGCCCGGATTCACTAATGAATCAATCGCCCGAGGGCTTTTTGTCGCCCAAGACCATTGGAACCAATTAACGTCCATCTTGCAAGATTATATTTTTCCCTAACTTTAGTCATTCAGGCTTACTTATTAGCTCATTAACTAGATATAAACTTGACTCGGTTTGCCATTTTGAAACTTCCCTCCCTTAATTCCCACCATAAGAGAACGTATAGCATCGTTCAACTGTTTTCATATTTCTCTCGCAATCAGGATCGTCTCGAATCAGGTAAGTTGCACAGTGTACATCCAGCTCCGTATTCCAGGCAATAAAAAAACAAAACTTTTTTTAACCACTTGGTCATACAGCGACCACTGGGATTGTTTTAACTGCAGGGGGAACTGTGAGAACAACAACAACAGTCATGCCCGAGACGCGATTCGAACCCGCCACGTCCCCTTCCGCCTTCGCAACCTCGGTCGTCCAGGCCGGCACATGAAAGCGCTTCGTG